AAGTTCTACCAGATCAGCTCTCACTTCTGCCCTTAGAGAATCTATGTTGCCATTAATGATTTTCTCCAACCTAGGTATTGTTTGCATAACTGTTACCCTGAAGTCTATTTTCAACATCTTGCTTATATCCATATCCATTAGTTCTGTGGCAGAGGTCACAGTCTCTTAATTCTTTCTCAGTTGGGGGTTCCTCCTCCTAGTCATTCTGGCGAGAGGTGGTTGAAGAAACAGAGTCTAAACTATTGACCAAACCCCAAGCAAGATGCACCTGTTTTATACAGACCTTAGTGTTGTCAGTCTCTTGTTCTTTCAGCCTGTCTTCTGGGGGAGGGGCCTGCCACACTGTTATTCAGGCAACCCTATTTGGGTAGAGTTGTCCTACCCCCCTGTAGGGGGGGATGGGCTCAGTGAAAACCGGTGTGGGGGGGCTTCTGTTCCCTGGTGGTTTTCCCTGGCAGCTTTCTATGTCTCTTCCGAGAGTCAGAGCAAAAATGACTGTATCCAATCCTCTGTTTCAGAACACAGAGATCGCAGTCTATTCTCCAGAAAGTCCCCCAGGCCACACTGATTCCGTTTTTGTCTGTGCTGCTAAAACCCCCAGCGTCCTGAGTTGTGCACGTCATAGCAGCACTCCCAGCCCTCGCTTCCAGGTCCAGGCATATCTCTGCCCTTTGTGCTTCTAAAATTGCCAACTGTCCCCAGTTTGCACACATGCCCCTGCAGCTCCTGGGCTGCCCTGGGGCTACCGGTTGCTACCGGTCTGCGAGTCTTGCCTGGTCCCCAGGGCAAGATGCCTTTGTGCTCCTGTGTTATTCCACCTATCTGGTGCCAGCGCTTATGGCGACTCCCCACTTCAAACCTCAAAACCAGCTGCTGGAGATATCCTGTTGGTATAGATCCTAATATATCTTCTTACATCTCAGGCTGATTTCGTGGGTGTTCAGGGTAGTCTGGTAGATATCCAGCTCAATTCAGGAAACCAGTTGAAATAGGGTCCCCTACTCCTCTGCCATCTTGGCCCCCTTCCCAAAATTCAGCAATATTTTAATAGCATTATACACCATGACTTAGTGGTACTTACTCCAGAAATGAAAAGGTGGTTCAATGTCTGAAATAATATCAATGAGTCCATCATATTTAACAGACTAAAGAAGAAAAATCACATGATCATATTATCAGTTAATGTAGAAAAAGCATTTGAGTAAATTCCACTCTAATTTATAATAAAAAAAAATTATCAGAAAAGTTGCAACACAGGGGAAGTTCCTCAATTTAAAAAAGAACATCTATAAGAAACCTATAGCTGATTTTATACTTAGCGGTGAAAAACTGAATGTTTTTCCCTTAGACTGTGAACAAGGCAAGGATGTCTACTCTCATCACTCTGATGCAGCATAGCACTGGAAGTTCTAGTCAATGTAATAATATAAGAAAAAGAAATAAAAGGCATAAAGATCAGAAAGGAAAAAAATAAAACCATCCTTATTTGTAGATGTCACAATTGTCTATACAGAAAATCATAAGGAATCTAGAAAAAAAATCCACAAAAGAAAAGTCCTTTTAGAACTAAATAAGGGAGTTCAGCAAGGTTGTAGGACATAAGGTTAACATACAAAAGTCAACTGCTCTTCTATATGCCAGCAATAACCTACTGAAATTTGAAATTAGAAAAAAAAATTATACCAGTACAGAAAAAATTAGAAAATACTTAGATATAAATCTAACAAAATATGTACAGGATCTATATGCCTAAAATACTAAAATACTAAACTGATGAAAAAACAAGGAAGATCTAAATAAATGTAGAAATACTCCATGTTCATGGATTAGAAGATTCAATACCACTAACATGTCAATTCTTTTCATCTTGATGTACAGGTTCAATGTAATGCCAATAAGATATCTACTTTGTAGATATCAATAGATTCTAAAGTTTATATAAAAAGGCAAAAGACCTAGAATAGCCACATGAATGGTGAAGAACAGACACACTACCCAAATTCAAGACTTACTGGAAAGCTACAGTAAATAAGACAGCATGGTATTAGTAAAAGAATAGACATGTATCTCAATGGAATAGAGCAGAGAGCCCTGAAACAGACTCATACAAATATAGTCCAGTGATTACTGACAAAGGATCAAAGGTAATTAAATGAGGAAAGGATAATCTTTTCAACAAATGATGCTGGAACAACTGGAAATGAATATACAAAAAGAAAAAAGAAAAAAAAAGAACTTAGACATAGACCTTCACCTCTCACAAAAATTAACTCAAAGTAATTTTTACTTAGGATCACAGACCTAAATATAACACACAAAGGCATAAAAAAATTTTGTAACAAAACAGAGAAGATTCTAGATTGACTTCTGATTTGGTGACTTTTTAGATACAACACCAAAAGCATAATGCATTACAAAAACCTGGTAAGCTGGTCTTTATTAAAATTAAAACCCCTTCTGTTTTGTGGCAGAAACTTAAGAAATGAAAAGACAAGCCACAGAATGGGAGAACATATTTGTAAATCACATATTTGATAAAAGAGCTGTATCTAAATTAAAAAAAAAATTTTAACATTCAACAATAAGGAAACAACCCAATTAAAAAGTGGACAAAATACTTAAACATATACCTTGCTCAGGAAAATAGAGACATGGCAAGAAGCATGTGAAAAAATATTGTCATTAGGGAATTACAAATTAAAATAAAAATAAAGCACCATCATACAACTATTAGAATGACTAAAACTTTAAAATTTTAAAAATTTTAAAAATTGACAATACCAAAGAAATGCTGGTGAGGATGTAGAAACAGGAACTCTCATTCATTGCTGGTGGGAACGCAAATGGTACAACTACTTTGGAAGACAGATTCCTAAAACCTTACACAGCTAAATTTTTACCAAATCTTACCATACAATCCAGTAATCATGTTCATATGCTTTTACACAACTGATTTGAAAACATGCACATGAATGTTTATGGCAGCTTTATCCTTAACTGCCAAGCACCCGAAGCAACCAAAATGTCCTTCAATAAATGAAGGAATAAACAAGTTGTGATACAACCATCAGTGGAATATTAAGTGATAAAAAGAAGCTATCAACCCAAAGAAGGGCATGGATGAAACTTAAATGTGAAATGCCAAATGAAAAGAACCTGTATGAAATGGCTACGTACTATATGATTCTAATTATATGACATTCTAGAAAAAGCAAAACTATAGAGACAGTAAAAAGATCCATGATTGCCAGATGTTTGGAGAAAGAGGGGAAGATTGATTAGGTTAAGTACAGAGAATTTATTAGGCAGTGAAATTATCCTGTACAATACTGAAACAATAGATAGATGATACTACACATTTGTGAAAACCAAAAGAATTTTACAGCACAAAAATAAAACGGAACACAAGTTAAAAAAAGAAATCACTTAGAAGACAGGGGGATCCCAAGAAGCAATGCAGACTGTGAAAAGAGAATTCAACTGAATCACAAATGTATGAAATAACTTTACTGATGGGATGGAGGAAAAAATGTGCTGACCTAAGTAACTTTGAAAATGAGTCGAGTCTGGGGCACCTGGTGGTTCAGCGGGTTAAGCGCCTGCCTTCAGCTCAAGTCATGATCCCACAGTCCTGGGATAGAGCCCCACATCAGGCTTCCTGGTCAGCAGAGAGTCTGCTTCTCCATCTCCTACTGCCCTTCACCCCCTACCCCCCAGCTTGTGCTCCCTCAAATAAATAAATAAAATCTTAAAAGAAACAAAAACAAAGACAAGTAAAATCTACAAGATGAAAGCAAAAGGAACTGCATATTAAGAACTGTGCCCTCAAATGCAACTAATATATATATTAGAAGTATATAAGTATATACTTATATTATTAGAAGTAATATAAGATATAGAATATCTTTGATAAATATTATATATCTAATATAAGATTAGAACTAAGATTATATATATATATCTTATATTAGTTCTAATATATATATATTAATAATATATATATTAGAACTAATATATATATTAAGAACATATTAAGAACTGTGCCCTCAAATGCAACTAATGAATCATTGAACACTACATCAAAAACTAATGATATATGTCAGCTAATTGAACATTAAAAAAACAAAAAACTGTGCTCTCAGGACACCCTGGTAACTCAGTTGGTTAGGCGTCTGCCTTCAGCTTGGGTTATGATCCCAGAGTCCTGGGATCAAGTCCCATATTGGGCTCCTTGCTCCATGGGGAGCCTGCTTCTCCCTGTCCCTCTACCTGCTGCTCCCCCTCCTTGTGCTCCGTCAAATAAATAAATAGAATCTTAAAAAAAAAAAAAAAAAAAAGAACTGTGCTCTTATTGATAAAGTTGTTTCTCACAGGGTTATGGGTTAACAATCCTAAACTGCTGTACATTTATGCTAAAATTAAATAATTAAGCAAACGGGTTGTGTATGGTGTGAGCCATCCACTGTTCTCACTCTTGAGTGGTAATTTTACAGATAACTCAGGGTGGGGATCTAGAATGATCCATGTCGTAATGGATGAGAGTTAGAGACATCATTACAGTCATGCTTAGCTTAACAAAGAGAGAGATGGTTACATATAAGTACGTGCATATACATTGGTTAGTATATACATGTGTTTCCTTATGTGTATATATACATATACATATATGTATATAGTATAACACATATATATTTTCTTGCTTTGTCTTCTAAAAGGTCCCAAGATCAATAAATGACACCTTAGCAGCAAAAAACACACTAGTTGATGTTTCTCTAGTCATTTTGGTAGTCAAAAAATCATTCTTAAGTAGATTCTATAGGATGTATTCTTAGGAAATAAATTCTCTGACCTCATACATATGAGTAAGTTCGTTGTTTATACTTGAAAGTTAGAAAATTCTTGGTTCACACTTTCTTGGGAGTATCTTAAATATATAGCTTTATTTTCTTCTGGTATTGTTATCAAAAAGTCTAATGCAAATCTAATTTTCCCTTGTTAGTATTACTGTGTCTCGGTAATGGCTGTTCTGAGTCTATATTCTTAGGCACACATTATATTCTTTCAACGTACAGTTTTTCTTTTAATTGCCAAAAAGTTTTCTTGAGTTGTAGTTTTTAGTAAACATTCAGTTCACTTGCTCTATTTTTTTCTTCATTGACTTCTATTCTATTATCTGAATGTTGGATCTTCTCTGCCTATCCTTAATATGTCACTTCTCACAAATTGTTTAAAAATTTTTTGCCATTTACTTCAAAGTTTTCTTCTTTTCCACCTTCAATTTCTCTTATGGTGTTATCTGGACTCATGTTCCTTCTAGTTTAATCCATTTTTTGTAATGATTTTTTCTTTCTTTTATTATGTTATGCTAGTCACCATATAGTAGTACATCATTAGTTTTTGATGTAGCGTTCCATGATTCATTGATTGCGTGTAACACCTAGTACTCCATGCAATCTGTGCCCTCCTTAATACCCATCACTGGGGTCACCGATCCCCTTCACCCACCTCCAAACCTTCAGTTTGTTTCCTGGAGTTCACAGTCTCTCATGATTCACCTCCCCCTCCGATTCCTCCCTCCCCTTCATTTTTCCCTTTCTTCTCTGAATGTCCTCCATGCTATTCCTTATGTTCCATAAATAAGTGAAACTATATGATAATTGACTTTCTCTGCTTGACTTACTTCACTTAGCATAATCTCCTCCAGCCCCATCCATATTGATGTAAAAGTTGGATATTCATCCTTCCAGGTGGTTGAGTAATATTCTAGTGTGTACATGGACCACGGCTTCTCTATCTATTCATCTGTTGAAGGGTTTTTTCTTTTACTTCCAATCCCTTGCTGAGTTATGTTATCTCACATCTGAATTTCTCTGATTCTGGTTTTTGTTGTTCTTTCGCTTGTGATATCATTTCTTAATGTCTTTTAACTTGTTTTGAAATAGTAGGTTACAGTATTTGACTTATAAGCCTGTTTTCATTTTCTGTAGGTATTACTCAACTCCTTTCCTCTTGTTTCTTATTATAACTGTGTATTGTTCATTTTTATGTGAAATTAGCTTTCTTGAACTGTTTGAATGAGATAGGGTCAGCAGAGATTTTTTTTACTTCACAGAATTGCATTTTCTGTTGTTTTTGTGTAGTATTCAAAACTATAGCAGTTTGCTTTCTGCAATTTTAGGGGGCTGCATTCTCTGCCACAGACTTTCTTTTCCTTTCATCTCTGGTGCCCCTATTCTGCTTATTTCCACTCCTAGCACCAGAGGACCATGTCCTAGAAAGAAGTCTCACAAAGGTCAGTTTTAAGAGTTCATAAAAGCTATACCACTCCAGCTTATTCGGTTCCTCTTATGGTGAACCTTTTGTGCTTACCTATCTTTGGGATGCACAAAATTCCTTCCAGTTTCAGCTAGTGTTTGCCAACTGGCCTGCTGTATTTTTCAATGAGTATCTGTTGGTTCTTTTAAGGTTTTCCTCTTCTTAAGTCTATCAGACACTGCCCTGTTGCTTTCTTCTTTTTACTTCCATCCCAGGAACTGATACCATAAAGGTCTTACATTACTTCATTTCTTCCACAATTGACAATGCTGACCAACTCTTTTCTGAAGTCTCTCTTCTGTCAGTATCTGGGATAATATCCTCTTTCAGGTTTCATCCACTATTTCTGGCCGCTCAGTATCACTCTCTTTTATTCTTCTTCTTCCTCTGCAGTTTTCTTATAAATAGATATTCTCCAGTGTTTTATCTATCCTCAGCCTTCTTCTTATTGTAATATCTTCTCCCTTGTGATCTCATTCTTACATAACTTCAACAATGAATGCTGATCAAGGCTATAATTACATTTTAGGCTTTTCTCCAGAATTTGAGACCCATTTATCCAGCTACCCAATATATTTCACCTTGTTATCTCACAGCCATCTCAAATCTAACACATAAAAGCCAAACTCATCAGCTTTCTGCCTTCATGCCTATACAGTACTTCTTATATTCTCTCCATGTAGGTCTCAACATACATCCAATTATCCAGTTGCAGAAACCTGCAAGTCCTTATCTAGGCTTCAATGTCTCCTTTACTAATCTCTTGCCAAGTTCTGAATATTCCACAACCTAAAAACTGTGAACTCTAGTTCCTTACCCTCAACCCCAACCCCATCAGAGGGATCCTTGTCTATGTCTCTCCTATGTCTCTGCTGTAAGAGCAGCCTCTGTCTCCTTGTCCATGCCACCTTCACCCTGGAGCAATCTTTCTAAATTGCAGATCTATGATATTCCAATCATTCACAGACATCCCTCAACTTTCAAAATAAAATCCAGATTCTTTACATGGCATACAATTCCCAGCTGGATCTTGTCTCTGACTACCTCTCCAAATCATAGTGTGTTCAACTTACAGTTTCTCAAACATGGTAACTCTCATGATTTTGTGTTATCATACATGCTAATCTCTCTGACTAGAGCACCTTGTCTTCCACCTCTTTAACTGGCTACTCCCCAGTTAGACTTCAGGAGCCAGTTGAGGCTTTTATTCTTCTACAGTATTTCTTGATCATTCACTTCCTGTGTTGCCTTATTTCCAACCACTCAAAGTCCTCAGCAGAACCTTCCTTCAGAGGACTTATTGCCAGACATTACAATGGTCTGTTTACCTGTCTCTCCCTCTCTGCCTATGAGCTCCTGGAGAGTGAGACCCTTGTCTTATCTCTTTCCCCAGCACATGGTGTAAATAAGAAATGAACTTTTGGGACTTCATCAAGATCAAAAGCTTCTGCACAGCAAAGGAAACAGTCAACAAAACAAAGAGGCAACCCATGAAATGGGAGAAGATATTCGCAAATGACATTACAGACAAAGGGCTGATATCCAAGATCTATAAAGAACTCCTCAAACTCAACACACAAAAAACAGATAATCATGTCAAAAAAATGGTCAGAAGACATGAACAAACACTTCTCCAAAGAAAACATATTCAAATCAAAACCACAATGAGATACCACCTTACACCAGTTAGAATGGCCAAAATGAACAAGACAGTAAACAACAAGTGTTGGAGAGGATGTGGAGAAAGGGGAACCCTCTTACACTGTTGGTGGGAATGCAAGTTGGTGCGGCCACTTTGGAAAACAGGGCAAGGTTCCTTAAGAAATTAAAAATAGAGCTACCCTAGGCAGTATAGACATTTTAACAATGTTTATTCTTCCGATCCAAGAGCATGGAATGGTCTTCCATCTTTTTGTGTCTTCTTCAATTTCTTTCATGAGTGTTCTGTAGTTCCTTGAGTACAGTTCCTTTACCTCTTTGGTTAGGTTTATTCCCAGGTATCTTATGGTTCTTGGTGCTATAGTAAATGGAATCGATCCTCTAATTTCCCTTTCTGTATTTTCATATACACTGGGGAGTATTATGCCTCCATCAGAAAGGATGAATACCCAACTTTTTTATCAACACGAACAGGACTGGAAGAGATTATGCTGAGTGAAATAAGTCAAGCAGAGAAAGTCAATTATCATATGGTTTCACTTATTTGTGGAGCATAACAAATAGCATGGAGGACAAGGGGACATGGAGAGGAGAAGGGAGTTGAGGGAAATTGGAAGGGGAGGTGAACCATGAGAGACTATGGACTCTGAAAAACAATCTGAGGGTTTTGAAGGGGTGAGGGGTGGGAGGTTGGGGGATCCAGGTGGTGGGTATTGGAGAGGGCATGGATTGCATGGAGCACTGGGTGTGGTGCAAAAATAATGAATACTGTTATGCTGAAAAATAAAAAATTAAAAAAAAAATAGAGCTACCCTATGACCCTGCAATTGCACTACTGGGTATTTACCCACAAGATACAGATGTAGTGAAAAGAAGGGCCATCTGTACCCCAATGTTCATAGCAGCAATGACCATAGTCACCAAACTGTGGCAAGAGCCAAGATGCCCTTCAAGAGACGAATGGATAAAGAAGATATCGTCCATATATACAATGGAATATTATGCCTCCATTGGAAAGGATGAATACCCAACTTTTGTATCAACATGGTTGGAACTAGAGGAGATTATGCTGAGTGACATAAGTCAAGCTGAGAGAGTGAATAATCATATGGTTTCACTTACTTATGGAGCATAAGGAATAACATGGAGGACACTAGGAGAAGGAGAGAAGAAGTGAGTTGGGGGGAATCAGAGGGGGAGATAAACCATGAGAGACTGTGGACTGTGAGAAACAAACTGAGGGTTTTTGGAGTGGGGGTTGGATGAGCCTGGTGGTGGGTATTAAGGAGGGCACATACTGCATGGAGCACTGGGTGTGGTGCATAAACAATGAATCTTGGAACACTGAAAAAAAATTAAATTAAATTAAAAAAAAAAGAACTGTCTCTTAAATAAACAACACGAGGCATGATATGGAAGAACTCAATGAAAATAAGAATTTACATTTGAATCTGTATGGATTGAAAAAAATGTATCCCATCTTTTGTTCTAAAAGAAAGATCAATGTCTAAACATTCAATAATTCACACACTAGAACACAAGAGGTAGAAAGTGTTTAAAAAGATTTTAAAAATCTAGTGTAATATTTTTGCTTTGATTAACATTCACTGCAACAGTGGCAAGAAAAATGTTCTTCATAAATGAACCACCCCCAAATGGCTCTGCTTATAGGTAGTGTAGGCAGTTTACCACAGAGGAATGAGCTGAGGATCCACCTTCCTGAAACCTTCCTCCATGACTTTGCCTATTTAACTTGAGATTGGTACCATCAGTATTGTTCCACTGGGTTTAGTCACCAAAGTGGTAGAACTACTTCTCAAGGCCTCCTGTTAAAAATGCAGCGACTATCAAGGAAATAAAGCTATTTGTATCTGTATCCCTTTTGCTTAGCACATTTCTTTGCACAAAGCTGGCTGTCAACAAACATTTGTGAAATGTGTGTATATGTTCATATATATGTATGCATATATATATATATCTAGATGTATATATATATGAACCTCATTCATATATACAGATGCATATATGAATGAGGTCGTTCATATATATACACATCTAGATGTATATATGTGAATGAATGATAAACATAATGTCTGCAAGACTTGGAAAACATCTTGGCCATCAGAGTAGGAAAAGGTGGTATTAAAAAAGGAAGAGAGCAGATATTATTTATGTTAATATATTACATAACAGTATATGTTGATATATCACAAATCATAGTGAAGTAAATTATATATTATATTAACATATTTTAATACCATAGAACTGAAAGGAAGTTAACTTACATAGAACTTTAAAAAAATTTTTCAAAAAGAAAATTGCATCATATGAATCAAATGTCAAAACAAACATAAATACCCCGAGAAGAGGCAGTAAATAAAACTACATATCTGACTTTGATTTGAAACCTAGGTAATAGCTTTAAGAGAAATTTTAAAATGGAGATTCATAAATAAAACAGTTATTAGATTAGAAAATACATTAGAAACATTAGAAAATGTTAAATACATTAGAAATGTTAGAAATACACTAGAAAACATTAGAAACA